CGCGGCTCCCTAACGGCGCTCTCACACACAGAGAGAGCATTTAAGGCTAGTTGTCCCTGGTGGCGTTGTCAGTGCATCATATTTCACGTATGCAGGTGGTGTAAAGACCCTCTCTCCTCCCTGTGCCCCGCCCCGCCCCGCCCCGCGGACGGCCTTGTTAATTCCGCGCCGCATTGTGTATTCCTTTTCTGTGCGAGGGTCTCTCTCGTGTCGTGCCACCGAAATTAGTCGCGTGGCGCAGCAAGGGCCGAAAGCATGGGGGGGGGGGGGCAGCACGGTTGCCCAACCACCTCGTCGTCGTGGGCTTGTTGCGGGACGTGTGGAAAGAATGTCATTTTATGTCCAGTTTGGTGGTTGCTTTGCTGCCGGCCCGAGGGCGGGGCGGGGCTGGGCGAGGCGGGCGCCTAGCACCAGGCCACGGGGTCAGCAGGCAGCGTTGGGAGGGGTGGGAGCAGGGGCGGGTCACGGAATGAAGATGCCACGGCCGCCGCCGCCGCCGCCGCACCGCCACGGGGACGGACATGGCAATTGCCGGAGACACCGATGAACGAGATGCAGGTGGGAGGGGGGAGGCGGTGGGCGAGGGGGAAGGCGGGGGAGGTCCTGTACCGTATTAATCAGCTGCGGTCGTTTGTAACGTGTCCAATTAAGAAAGACCGTCCCTGGAGATGCCAGCGCGCGGGGGCGGGTGTGGGGGAGGAGAGCGGGGTTGTCCGGCGCGCGAGGGGAGATGGTAGGTATAAAGGTCCTGGGAGGGGAAGCAAGGGGAGCGGGCTGACCTGTGGGCGGATTGGATCTAACGTGGTGAAAGGGACGTGAGTTGAGTGAGGCTGAAAGAGGAAAAGGGCGGGAAAAGTTTTATTTCGGGCGGGAAGCGAGGGAGGGAGAGCTAATAAAAACACGACCTTGGGCGGTGCGCGACGTCGCCTTGGTCGGTGGGAATGTGAGCAACTTGAGTCTCTACTAACGCTCTGCTCTGCATGAGCTGCTGCGCTCCTTTCGCGGTGTGGCGGCGGGAGAGGACTTGTCGTCGTGGACCGCGACTTGAGAACACTGTCGCGCGCTTAGGGAAGGCCCGCCCCGCCCCGCCCCGCTCGCGCGCCCGCCGCGTCGCTATGGCAAACAAACCGCAGCAGCACCAAAACCGCCCCGAGCACATGGGGGACAGGGACATGACGTGGTAATCTGGAGGGGAGGGGAGAAGGGAAGCACGCCGTCAGGAGCAAAGCCACCTCCGGGTCCAGCAGAGCGAGGTCCGGTCCGGTCTGGTCACTTGAGGGGCCGGCCGGCACGCGGGCTCCCCGGGGAACGGCGGGGCTGCTCGCCCGCGACGGATTTAGAGCTGTTTGAATCTGGAGGAAATGGATAAAGTAGACGAAGGAAAAGATGTTATTTAAAATACAATTTTTTCTTTCATAAAAAACGTGTCCGAACATGAAGCAGATGATACCACGATCGCAAAACTCTGCTCATTTGCCAACAAACGGTTTCCTAATAAAAGTTGCGTTAACATATTGACAAGGATCAGAAACATAATGCTCCTGGCTTATTTGATACAATAGTGTGCTGAGAATGCGTCGCCGATGAAGTATTGCTTTCCCGCCTCTAGCTCAGCAAGAAAGATTAGATAGAAGCTCCTCCGGAGCGGGGCCTGATCGGCGGCGAGCGAGCGGGCATGCGTGTGGGCCTTGTGCGGGCCGCGGCGAGGCGGTGGGCGGGCGGGGCCCCGTAGCGCCCAGGAGCTGGGCCTCCCGCCGGACAGGCGTGCGCCGCGCGCTCGGCGGGGGCCTACCTCGCAGGCGCGCTGCCGAGCCCCGGCCGCCGACCGCCCCCGTCTCCTCCTCCAAGTCCACCTTCGTTTCCTTCTGGCACCTCGCGTCTTCGAAACCTTTTGCGCCACCATCATCAACGTCCTTGTTACTCGTCCAAGCTCGTTCCCTCTATTGACTTGGCTCGTTTTCTATTTTGATGGAGATTGAAATTGTTAGAATAAACGTCGGACAGGCGGGACCTTTCTCATTTTCATTGTTTTCATTTTCACTCTCATCCCCCACCGTGCCCCTTCCCCCAATTTTTTTTAGGGGGACACATCTTAAGTTGCGCCCTTTTCTTGTCCCCCTCCTAAAAGCAAATTCTTTTCTTATCGCGCTTTTCTCTTGCCACGTCGAACCAACACACTAATGATCCTTCCGCGGCCCTACCCTGCTCCGCCACGCCCCGCCACGCCCCGCCACGCCCCGCCACGCCCCGCCACGCCCCGCCACGCCCCGCCACGCCCCGCCACGCCCCGCCACGCCCCGCCACGCCCCGCCACGCTTCCTTTTCCTCGTCATCCCCCTTCGTCCCCGCCCACACCTTATCCAGGACCGCGCGCCTTTCTGTCTGTCTCTGCTGTGTGTGTCGGGGGTCCCTGTGTGTATAGTGACACCCCCGTGACGTGACGGTGCCGTGGACTGTCAACATAGTTCCGGGAAAGAGCCGCGTCACCGTGGCTTGGCACGGTTGCAGTGCGAGCGCCACGCTCCGCCACGCCCCGCCACGCCCCGCCACGCCTCGTCCCGTTTCGAGAAAAGTAGGGGTTTCCTTGAGCGTCCTCTATATCTTCCCTCGCGAAAATCTGTCCATCCCTCTTTGGCATATGGGTGGTGAACTCGGGTAGCTCCGTCTCTCGCACAGCCCTGGCCAGCAGCGCTACCGTCTGGGCTGTGTGGGTTGGGTCTGTGTGTGTGTGTGTGTGTGTGTGCACGCGCGCGCGCGCGCGTGTGTGTGTGTGTGTGTGTGTGTGTGTGTGTGTGTGTGCGTGTGTGTGTGCGTGTGTGCGTGTGTGCGTGGTATCTTGGACGCCATCCATCAACCCCCTTTGCACGCGGCGTGTGGTCCTGTATGTGTGTATAGTTTGCGTGTAGTTAGTAGTCTGCAAGTCATGCTGAGTGTGAACCTCGTGTGGTGTTTGTGTGTGAGAGTGAGGCGGCAGGGGCTAGTGTGTGTCTGTGTTCGCAGTTATGAGTAAAAGTTTAGTGTGAGTCGCACATACGGTACAGATCAGCTGTGTAATATGTAGTATACCTTAAAGCATCTGAGGTCCTCGGTCTGCGTTAAGGTTCCTCTGCTGGTAACAGTACTTGAGGCAGCGGTCAAAGGGAAAAAATCTAGATAGGAGGAATGAATTACGGGATCATTTTTTCTGTTATTGTTAAGCCAAAACTCAAAGTGTCCCGTTTTTTTTAAGAACGTGTCTCGTATGTTGCAGATGCAGTCGACGCAACAGCGAGCCGCCTCTAGGATTGCTGAACGAGTCCTTGTTATGCCAGCACCAGCGGCTTCTCTACGACCCCACGGACCCCAACGACTACGATCGAAGGTGAGCAAAACGGGTTAATCGATACTCCTCTTTGAAACTTTGTGTATATGTTTACAAATATATTTATTACACGAGTTATTGAATAAGTGAGTACAACTGGCGTTTGTGCTATTGGTCAACTACTATCATAGTTGAAACTTTGTCGGAAATCGGATACCAGAAAAATGAAAAAATAAGGTTGTCGCCGAGCGGTTTGGCCCTATCCTGTCCACGCGATCACGGCCGCCGCCGGTGCGGCGGGGCTGAGGAGTCGGAGTGGCGCCGTGGTGCTGCTCATTTAACTTTAAAATGAGTTAAATTGATTAGGGTGCCATTCATCTAGCCTTAATTAGCCTCGGCAGCCAATACATTGTTTGCTGATTAACGCTGAGCTCCTCGGGGCCGACCAGTGCAGCGCACCTCACCGCCCCTCGCCCCGCCCCGCCCCGCCTCGCCTCGCCTCGCCTCGCCTCGCCTCGCCTCGCCTCGCCGCGTCACCGCCCTGATTGAATCCCCTGGCCGATCTCGAAAAGCAGCACGAATCAGCGAGCGAGCGCTGCTACTATAGAAAACACGGTGGTGGTTTAAACTTTATTCGGGAACCCACTGCTCCTGAAATTCCCTTTCGGAATTTACCGAAATTTCCCTTTAAACTCCCCCTGGAGCTCCCTGCTCCTTCCACAAGTCTCCTCCTCGCACACACCCCCTGTAACTGCCTCCTGGAACCCTGTCCAGGGAACCTTCCTGCAGAGTGACTGTATATGTCCAGGCTTGGACACAGTGCTCCGCCCGCTAGGCGAGGCCCGGGCGAGGCGTGGCGCGGAAGGAATTTGCCACTTAACCGAGTTTAACGACTGGCCGCGCAACGATGGTCGATATACTCCAAATTGACTTTCCTTGGGCGTTCCGGCTCAGCGCCTTGCTCGGCCCCGGCTGGCGCGCCTCCTCTCGGCTCTGCTCGGCTCGGCAGTGGCAGAAAGCAAGCCCGCCTCGTCTTTTTGTCTTGCGTGCCCCGCTGCCCCGGCCCGCCGGCGCTCTGCCCACGGCGCTGCTGCCCCACGGTCCATCGCCGTAGCCCATATAACCCGGGGGCAGGCAGGTCTGCGGCCCGGTAGCGGACGCCACGCCACGCTGCAGTGCGTGCCAAAGCCTTTCGACGCCTATTTTCCTTATTTTAATTTTCATGTCGGAAAGGAGCAGCAAAAGCGCCGTCGTCCAGGGGCTTCTATGGACTTGTAGAGATAAGAAAGAGGACCGACCGGGAGAGAGGAAGAGTGAGGGAGAGAGATGGAAAGGAGGAAGGGGTGACTCGTGGAACCGTGACACTAGCACGACCGTGACACTGGACGGCTTGCGCGCGGCGGATGTGACTGACCGTGACAAGGAGCGTGACGGCGGGCCGTCTCCTCCCCTCGGGGCCCTGATTGCTTTGTGACACTGAGCAGCAGGAACAGTAGCTTCTCTGCCCCTGGCTCTTCCTTCATGCAAATGCGGTCGCTGTCTAAACAGCAGCCGCGTCCAGCCAGCCGCCCAACCCCGCCGGCCGCGGCCCGCGCAGCCCAGTGCACCCCCGCCCCTCCTTTCCCCTCAAACCCCCACGCGCTCGGTTCATTTTTTCGGTCGTTTTGTCTCCCTTCCCCTGCCCACCCTCCTTCCTTCCCCCCTCGTCTCTCTCGCTCTCTCTCGCTCTCTCTCGCTCTATCTCGCTCTCTCTCGCTCTCTCTCGCTCTCTCCTCGCTCTCTCTCTCGCTCTCTCTCTCGCTCTCTCTCGCTCTCTCTCGCTCTCTCGCGCTCTCTCGCGCTCTCTCTCTCCTCCGCCCTTCGAAGCTGAAAACGCGATGGGGCTGCTGGAACGTACGGTACAGAGAGTAACAGAGGGATAGCCCTTTTGCGCCTTTTCTGCTGAGAGAGCGAGAGAGAGAAGATGGTAGACGGAGCGGGGCGTTCGTCGTGGTTTTTGTGGCTCCGTGCTCCCGTTGGATGGGGTAAAGTGGGGGTGGGGGGGTGGGGGGGGAAGGTTTTAAAACAATCCTCTCTGCCCAGCATTGTGCCCCCCGCTCACTACGGGTCATCTCCGCCGCCCTTGCTAGCCTGTCTCATTAATGTCAATGCGCTCACCCCCAGCTCCTGTGCAGCCGCGGGTAATTTATTATGATTATGGATCGGGAAAGAATAGGGAGCAACTGTAAGAAATGCGCGCGCTTTTCGACTTTTCGCGCGTGCTTAAAATTTGCGTCTCTCGCGCGTTTTAAACTCTCCGCGTGGACTGTACAGTGCACGTATTTGATATTGCAGGCAGAAACGTGGCGCGGAAAATTGGGTCGCTGGAAGGGTGGGTTTTCATGGTGGTATGATAAATAAAGTTGGTGCGAGGAGTGAACCGGTCCAGAGTGTGACACTGTCAACCGCCCC